GTGTGTGTGTGTGTCCCCCGCTTCTTAACGGCACCTCCCGCGGGCGGCCCAGCGGTTCCCCTTCTCTGACAACTCCCCCTCTTCCCCCCTCAGCGTGAAGATCGCCCCGGGGGCCGTGGTGTGCGTGGAGAGCGAGATCCGCGGGGACGTGAGCATCGGTAAGGACACCCCGAAAGACCCCTGACACCCTCCCTGCTGTGGGGCGGTGGGGGGACGCCAGGTCTGTGTGTGTGTGTTCCTCCCCTCCACCCCCGGCAGGGCCCAGGACCGTGATCCACCCCAAGGCCAGGATCATCGCCGAAGCCGGGCCCATCATCATCGGGGAAGGCAACCTGATCGAGGAGCAGGCGCTCATCATCAACGGGTGGGTGATGAGAAGGACCAGGCTCTCCAAGAGGGTCCTTCCCGACACCCCTAAACCCTCCTGGCACTGCTTTGCTGCGCAACGGGGTCCCTCAGAGCCGGGTCGGGTGGGAAGAGGGGTTGTTTGGGATCCCTTCGTGGTGTTTTCCAGGTCTGGGGTTTGCACAGAGGGTGGTGTTTTCTGAGTTCGCTCCACACGCATCGTAGAGCACTATCCCTGTCTTGTCAAGCGTGAGCTTGTGCTTACAGCAGGGCTTAAAACCTCTGGAGAGGTAGAATTTAAGGAAAACACCACTTCTGTGCTTTTTGTGACCCTGTGGCTGGGGAAGGAGTTGTCCCTCTGTGAATCCCCCTCCAGCTGACAGAGGAGAAGGATCCTGAGAGCGAGGGACACTGTGCAAGAGCAAACAGTCTCAAAACCCTGATGGCCTGCCTGGATTGAATAGGATATAAGTGTCTTCAGCCTCTCACACAATTGAGCTGCCAAACAGGAAAGAATCTTTGTGATCTCAATACTTCAAACGTATTCTTCCCTGTCGTAGGTATCCAGAAAATATCACGCCAGAAACTGAAGAGGTGGAGCCGCAACCGATGGTCATTGGCACCAATAATGTTTTTGAAGTCGGCTGTTGTATCCTTGCCGCGCGGTCATACAGTTGGTCTGATAAGCTCTGCTTTTGGGAAGCACGTGGGGGCTGGAGCAGCCCAGGGCTAGTTAAGTTTCAGGGTGTGGGTCTGAAAATGGCGTTGGGGTTTACCTTTTGAAATAAACCCAAAATATTTTACAGTTTCCTTTAACACAGACTCCTAGATTCCCAAGCAATGAAGGTGGGGGATAACAATGTCATTGAATCCAAGGGTAAGTTTCAGCTTATCATCTGGACCCTGTGGAATTTTGCTCTTGTAGGCAGCAGAGGATTTCACGGTGTTGTCTTGCTGCTGCCAAGGCCAAGCTGCAGCTCGTCCCAGAGCTTTGATTTTCACACAGAACCCACGTGTGTTACTGCCTTGGTGGGCACTGGGCTGGCGCCGAGCAGTTTGTGATGCTGATGTTTGGTGGTTCTAGGTTTAACCGTGCCGCCAGCACAACTCTCATGGGAATTCCTCTCTCTCTCTCTGGCAGCCTTCGTCGGCAGGAATGTGATCCTGACAAGTGGCTGCATCATTGGGGCCTGCTGTAACATCAACACCTACGAGGTGATCCCCGAAAACACCGTCATCTATGGGGCGGACTGCCTCCGCCGCGTCCAGACTGAACGGCCCCAGGTGGGTAACAGTGCCGTCATCCTCCCGTCCACCTCTGTCACCATCGCGGTGACCACGGGGACACTGCTTGACCCTCACCTCCGCTGCCTCTCCTTCCAGCCTCAGACGCTGCAGCTGGATTTCCTGATGAAGATCTTGCCCAACTACCATCACTTAAAGAAGACCATGAAGGCCACATCCACTCCTGTCAAGAGCTGAGTGCCTTCAGCTTCATCTGGTCCTGGGAAGCACCAGTCTTAACGCCCCTCACTCCATCTTGGAAAAAAAGAAAAAAAAAAGAAAAATACAAAAAACAACGCATCTTGCTTATTTGCATCCTTTATTTATATTCTGGCTTTGGATCTCTTGTGTCTCTTGCATTACCTCTATTGTACGTGCTTTTGTTTTGGGAATAAAGTGTCACCTGCACTGCCCTCTGTCTTGGGTAGGGTACCCTGGTTGACCCAAGCACTGACCTGGCAGCCTTCTCTTCCCCTTGGGGACGTCCTGGGCTCCCGCTCCTTCCCCTGGCTGCCGGCAGAGGGAGATGGACCCACGCTGGGCTCCTTGGAGAGAGGGGTGTCCTGGCGCCCGAATCCACACGGATCGTGGGGTACGAAAGGCTCCGGGGCCAGGATCCCACCTGCCGAAGGTTGCCTCCTACTTGGCTTCCCAGAGGGTCCAGAATGGCCACATGCACACGTCCCAGCAGGCCCCCTGACATTCCCCAAGCACGTTGTTCACAACTTCCCCTTCTTGTCCAACACAGCGCAGCCTGTTATCTTGTTTCCACATGGAAGGGAGTTGGTAGTGGAGCAGAAATTCCTACACAAAAGAGAAGGAGAGAGCATCAACAACCCCATGTACGAGCTGGGTTTTTCGCTGGGGACCAGGGGTTCCAGGTGTGGAGCCGATCAGATTTTCTGCCCTGGTTTATTTGCAGGGGTACCAGGAATAAAAACTCATCTTTTCCCCCTCCCAGTTCCAACTCAAGGTGCAGCACTGCTGGGAAACAGCAGCTCTTCCCCAAAGCCGAGTCCAAATAAGGGCTATGAATGTTGTCCCAGCTTCCTCTACAGCCCACCCCAGCAGCTCTGTTCTGTAGAGACACCTATGGAGAGGGGAAACAACAGGAAATAAAATGTATCTTTCTGACTTCTACCCTTACTAACAGATAAGGCGATCTCTTGCAAGGAATTTACCCCAAAAGGAGGAGGCTCCATCACACTGCTTCTTCAGAGGCAAGACAACCATCAGGAATGGTCAACCTGAAAAAACAGCATGGAAACATCAAGTTGGTGACGGTACAAGTTCCAATACAGACTCACCCAAAGCCCAGCCTAAAGCAAAAGAAGGGTGGGAGCCTAAATGGAGCCCTGGAGTCAGGTGGGGAGGGGGTGTGAGCAGCCAAGACCCCAGGTGGGGGCCCTTTGGGGTGATGAGCCCCCATCCGTCCCCCCTTCCTGCCAGGGGTGAGAGCAGAGCTGGCACCAACAGCTGGGATGCCTTCTCTAATGTCACCTCCCTCCCATCGTGGCTGCTCCTGCATCCCACCTCCTGTGCCCAGTGTCCTCAACATTGTCCCCTCCTCGACCCTGCAGCCCTGCTGTAGCCTTCTCCCTGGGAAAGTGTCCTGTGTCCCCAGGATTGTGTCCCAGCTCGCCAGCCTTAGAATCATAGAATCGTTGTGGTTGGAAAAGACCTTCAGGATCATCAAGCAAGCACCACATCCAGACGGCTTTTAAATACATCCAAGGATGGCAATTCAACCACTTCCCTGGGCACCCCGCTCCGGTCTTCGATGACTCTTTCAGTGTAGAGGATTTTCCTAATGTCTAGAGCCTCTCTTAATGTCTAAAGCCTTGTCCGGTGTTGCCCAACCCTGGGAGCCTTGTGTCCTGTATCACCAGCCCCATGTCCTGAGTCCCCAGCTCTGTGCCCTGTGTCCCCAGGACTTTGTCCATCTCACCAGATTTGTATCCCCTGTTCCCAGCCTGTGTCC